AGTTTTAAACTTGGTGCTTCTAAATGACATGTCTGAGCTATCACTAAAGGGTCCTGTTTGTACAGTAGTTAAAGCATTCGCTGCCACCCACAAGGTGACTGATTCAAATTATGCAGTTGCTCCTCAGGAGAAAGATGAATCAGTCTGCCTCTGTAAAAGATTTACAGCCTTGGACATTCTACGGGGAAATTCTACTCTGTCCCACAGGATCACTATGAATAGAAGTCAACTCAATGGTAGGGAGTTGGAATTATGATTAAGACTTGATTCAGAAAGGATTCTTAGATTTGTTATCATTTGAGGTGGATGAGCTTTGAAAGTTTTCAGTAAAAGACCTTGCATGGTGAGAAAATAAGGCTGTGCCATTAGGTGACTTGTCTAAAGTTATTTGTTTATCCATGTAAACATTACATCTATGTACCCATTTTATTCTACAGGGTTTATTGAGTTCATAGATGAGTCTCTTAGTTCTAATTCTCCAGCATGAGTCCCTATTCTAACTTCTCAACTTTTCCTTGGCTTTCATTGAATATTTATCATTTAGGGAAGGACCGACCATCTTTATCTTCCAAATAATATGTCCAAAATTTCTCATGAGGCTTAGCTTGTCTCTTTCTAACTTCTTTTTTTTTTAAATTTTATTGGGAAAAACATAATGGGGGTACAAGGAGGTGAGGGTTGGGGGCAGAAGGATGAGGATGGGCAAGGATGCAGTCGTAGAGCTGCACAATTTGGTTGGTGGGGGGAGCAGATGAAGGAAATGAAAAGGATCCAGTGGGGACCAGATGCTACAGGGGAATGGTTAGCATTTTCCAATAGCAATTAAACCAACTGTTTTATTGATTTGGGAACTGGATACAGACTCTCTGGCTTCTTCGTGCTGAACAGGGGCATTGATGTGAAGGGGGAAAGGGAGGACACTTTATCACCTTACTGGTGGTCTTGGGTTAAAGCTGCTTGCCTTCTTGTTCTGGTAGAAGATATTTTTCTGTCATTTGCTCCCCTCTGGACTGCAAAGTGTTTTCCCAGGTGGGTCTAGTGGGGATGGCTGGTTGAATCCAGAGGCTCCATCCTCCTTTGCTTCCTTAGCTGGCAGTTGTATTTTCTTTTTGTCACTGGCACTGGGTTCAGGGTCAGGCCTGGAGTAAAACTCAGTGTTAAGGTTACCTATAGGAAAGTGAGCAAACCTAGAAAGAACAAACTTGTGAGTTACAAATAGAAGGGCTTTGGGGGTGTGGCTTTCAGGTTTACTCGGGGAGAGGGTGGCAGAAAGTAGCCTAGATAAAATTCTCTGGATACCCTAGGCATTCCCCCCCCCAATCCAAGGGTCAGATGGCACAATCTGGGGACTGAGGAGCTCACCCTGATGGCTGTGATGGTTCACCCTGAGCCGAGGGCCAAAGACAGCCTGCCCCGAGCTGGGCCACACCCCGCAGGGGCTGGCTGGTTCCCTTCCCCTCCAATTGCCCCCACCCCACTGTGGTCCCCTTGCCTGACCAAGGAGTATGTGGCCAAGGACAGCGTCTCCAATTCCAGCACTGCCACTTTTACACCCCTCCCCCATAAGTGGTCATACTATAATTTGAAGTAGGTGTCACTGCCCTTTATAATGGCAAAGGGAACCTGAGAGTTGTGAACAGACTCTCCCCCCAGGTCTAAACAGCTTTTGGTGGAAGCATTCAACAGAACAAAATATGTGGTGCATTTAGGATGTTGGTCCTCTTGGACATGCTGCCACTGTTAAGTCTCATCAAGTAGATAACTCACAGTGACCTTCAACAATCTATTATATCTATGAACATCTTCTCTGGCCTGTCCAAGGAAACCCAAACCTGCAGGCGGAGGGGTATGCATCCCATCTCCCTTGCGGGCGGCATCATCTCCTGCTTCCCCAGCTGCCACCATCTTGGCTCCAAGAAGTCTTCCCAGAACAAGTCCACTTTGCGGCAGTGTGGCGACTCCGCTGTACCAGTGTCAGGGAGGCCCAGTGCCTACCATCCATCCTGGGTGAGGGATTCCATAGGTTCCGGCTATGGGAGCCTCATGGAGCTGTGGCAGTGGTGCGGCGTGGTGTGGGCTTTGCAGGAGGGGGTTGGGAGCTGCGAGATTCACCCATTCCTCCTTGGGAATCCTTGAATTCCTGTTGTTGAGCCTCCATCTTCACTGAAGACCAGTCATCAACTGTTTAACTGTTCAATTATCAATAAACAGAGGTTGTAGAAGGCCATAGTGGCCCTGCTTCAAGTGGTCTGCTGCTCCCGCAGCTCACCACGCTGTCTCTGCCTCTGCCGCCATCTTGGATCTCCCTCTTTCTAACTTCTAAATGTTATTTTGCTCCCAAAGGCAGTACTCAACTTTTATTTATTAACATCTTAAATGTTTGAGTTATTTAAGTAATAATGAAGGTTTTCAGGGGTACATAGTTGGACAATGACCAAGGAGGATAGAAGGAGAACTGATGCCTTTGAGCTGTGGTGCTGGAGAAGAGTACTGAGAATACCATGGACTGCTAGGAAAACAAATAGATTTGTCCTGGAGAGGGTTAAACCGGGTGGCTCCTTGGAGGCAAGGATTCTGAGGCTCCGTCTAACTTACTTCGGACATGTAGTGAGGAGAGACCGGTCCTTGGAGAGGGACATCATGCTTGGGAGGGTGGAGGGACGGCGCAGGAAAGGAAGGCCCTCTATGAGGTGGATTGATTCAGTGACTGGGATAATTGGGATGGGAGTGTCAGAGACAGTGCGACTGGCACAGGACAGAGCGGAGTTTAGGGCTATTTTATATAGGGTCGCTATGAGTCGCAGGCGACTCGACGGCACATAACAACAACAACAACAAAGTAATAATGAAAAGAATAATATTACTAATAATTATAATAAAATAATAGTAATAACTCAAATAATAATAAAAACTCGTAATAAGTAAAAGAAGCTCTTGAGCTGTCACAGGAACAAAATGACATTTGGGAATTTTTCCTGAACAATCTGAGCTTCTTTTTTAACTGAGGATAAGACGATAAACTTCCCCAAGTCATCTGACTTGACAGCACACAACAACAACAAAACCCCCAAAACAACAACTGAAAGAAAAAGGCACATCAGGTGGAACCTGCAAAAGCCTAGAATAGAGACTTGTCCTTCAACTGCAATTCTTTTCTTTTTCCCAAAATAGTTCTACTTTCCTGTGCTTGAAGACTCAAGATGGTGCCTATCTTAGAACAGTATAAATAAGATTATATGCTTATATTTTCTGATTGTTATAAAATTTGTTGATTTTTCTTTGATGAAGGTAGTGATTTGGGTGATGCTTGTTGATGAAGTAAGGCTTTTGGTCAGGATATTCTTATTTATTCAGAGCTTTAAATGCTCTTCAGAGAAGAGTGTGAGAAACTGAGAAGATGAGAACAATGATACTGCTTCCTATGGGGGCTTTGGCAAAGCTGTGGCAGAGTATTGCCAGAGATGCTGCCTGAATTTTAGAGAGAAACTTGTCAGTGTTAAATGGAAAGAAAAATAGAGGACTTGTGAGATGAATTGAACATAAATCTAGCAATTTGCTTTAGGTAAGGGATGGCAGTAAGATGGTTTGTCATTCTTTCCCATCTTTCATCCTGCTATTCCCAAAGTCTTATGTAGAAGAAGCTCTTGAAACTAGATAACAATGAAAAGTCAGTTGTCAGAGAAATATGCTGCTATTTCCAGCCTTTGTTTATGTATGTGTTTATTTACATGGGAGCAATCAGAGCCCTGCAGGTTAAAGATGAGATAAGGAATTAAATTCTGAGCACTGGCTTGTACCAAATTATTAGATTTAAGAAGATAATACTCACTAATCTGAGTCTGGAAAATCTTAGGACATTCAATTCTTGGTGTCAGTTTCTTAAGTCAATTTTAGAAGTGATAGAAAATTCTTGGGTAAATTTGACTCCAGTCTTTTCCACTAGTCTGTGTCCATCCCTGCCCCTCCGCCCCCCTTGCACTGGAGTATAGAAGACAGGAAGACCATCTGGCCCAGCCTGCCAGCCTTTTATTTGGTTGCTCTCAATCCTACCTTCCTGTTTGGATCACCCCTCCTCTTTGCCCATACTTCAGAAACCAATCAAGGTGTCTCCTGAACTCATTTATTCCCTTTGTTTCAGCCGCCTTCTCGGGTAACTTTTTCCATATGCTTACATCCTTGCCTTACAACAGACTTTTATAAAAAATCTGAAATGGCCTGATTGGACTCTTAGGAAAAGCCATTTGCTCAAATATACAACAAAGTGTTTCTAAAGACCCCAAACAATTTTTCATTATGTTTGATGACGAGGCCGTGTATGCAGAGGGAAAATGGCTATGTTTAAAAATAACTACCTGATGGGCAATGATGAGCACTGTATGAAATTAAAGAAAATATTGTTAGTATTCACCATCACTCCTGGTCCCCATGAAATTACTCAGTTTAGATTTGGAGTGATGTAGTCATGCATTGCTGAGTTGGAACTGACCCATAGCTCACCCTCCAGTGGGTTTTCAGAGACAGTTAATCACAGAGAAGGAGATTGTCCATCCTTCTCCAGCAGAGCAGCTGGTGGTTTTGAACTATGTGTCTTTGGGATTCCAGCATAGTTTCTTACCACTAGGCCACCAGAGTTCCAGGTTATCATTTTTTTTTTAACTTGAGATTTATTTGTCTTGTTGCTTCAGTTTAACTTCATTCTTTTTAACATGTTCACATTGCCTGCTGTGGACTAGTTTTCTGCAGTTGTTTCTAAAACTTGCTAAAATGCCAGATGCCATGTTGGAAACACAAACCTTAAAGAAGGTTGTAAGTCACACCTTCCCACACACCCCCCCCCCCCTACTTAAAGTAGAATAAAATACACTGAGTGCTGTACTCGCGAGCTTCCTGACTTCCTTTTGCTCACCCACTCATTTAACACACATTTTTATTTTATTTTATTTTTTAAAGAACAAGTGTTCAGCAGTTTCTCACCTAAGGCTTGGCTGTTTCTTTTGCAGATTCAGAGCAGAGCACTGGTGGGTCAGACTCTGAGGTGCTCACTGAGAGGACTTCCTGCTCCTTCAACACTCACCGTGACCTAAGTGCCAGTGCTGCAGGCTCTGTGCCTGCCACCATGTCCTCCATGGAGGAGATTCAGGTGGAGCTGCAGTGTGCTGACCTCTGGAAGAGGTTCCATGATATAGGGACTGAAATGATCATCACCAAAGCAGGCAGGTAAGTATACGTTCCATGGACAAAGTCAAAGAAAACAGCACAAAAATAGGAGCTGTTATACATTTTCTTTTCAACGTGCCCTCACTTGCCTGTCTTGGCATTTCAGTAAAGTCATCCTGTTGTGTTTACTATGATTCTGTTATTTTCTCCACTGGTCATTGACACTTAAAGATATCTTAGCTAACAATACTGGAAACCTTTGGTATTTTGATAGCTAAAAGATACATTTCCAAAGCAAATATTTCCTTCACCATTCTATATTTTCAAAAGAAATTATTTACTCTACAAACAATACATTTCGTCTTTTGAGATGTTTAATGCAGTCAACATTTGTTTAAGGCTTTTGTTAGAATTGAACTTGGTGCATCCTTTGAGCTTTACTAATTTATGCCTTGTGTTTTAGTGTAGGAGTTATTCCAGAGTATTGATGGGGCTCTAGATGAAATGCTCATGAAATATTTAACTAACATGACAAAAGTGTTGAAAACATGATTTCTCTTGAAATAAACTGGTGGAGGGATGGTGAAAGAGAGGGAGACCTTTAACATGATAGATTGACACATTTGCTGTAGCAATGGGCTCAAGAATGTCAGAGATAATGAAGATGGCACAAGATAGAACAGGGTTCAGTTTTGTTGTTCATAGAGTCATTATGAGTCATAATTGACTAAATGGCATTAAAGGGAAAGTTCTAGAATTCCAGATAAAAATATTTCAACTGTTTATAATTCCACACTAATAAATGGATGTAGTTCTTGCTTCTTGGATTAAAAATGAAAATTATGTATTTAGAATTAAAGTCATGTTAACCTTTTGAGTATATGTGAAGAACCCAACCAATGTACTGCTGTCAAGTCAGTTTGAATTCATAGCAATCTTTCATTGGGTTTCTGAGGTTGTAAATCTTTATTGGAGGAGATAGGTCATATTTCCTCTCCAGAACAGCTGGTAGGTTTGAACTGGCAACCTTACAGTTAGCAGCCTAACACATTACACAGCATATTGCCAGGGCTCCTTTTTTGAGTATGTGGTAATATTAATTGACATGAACCAAAAATATTATGCTTCTATATTTTTAATGTCATTCTAGATAGTTTCATGGAAATATCAAAAGCCTGCTTCATTGCTCATGAGCTATTTACATGAATATTGATATTTAAAGCAAAAGAAAAAAAATATGTGATCCAGTTTACGTGAATGCATATATTCTCCCAAATGACATCTAATACAATAAAGCCTAAAGTTAAGATGAATATGAAATTTTGTTCATATTTTTTCTCTTTTGGAATTCCCTTTCTTCTATTTCTTTTAAATTTTTTAAAAATTATTATTTATTTGTATACAGTTGTTCTTATACATTGTGCTTTTTAAAAATACATTGTGGCTTATATGAGCATTTACTTGTACACAGTTATTAATACACATTGTTTCATGTACATTTTGTTTTATACAATCATTTCTGTACATTGTGTTTTATACAATTACTGTTAATCTATTAATTTTATCCTTCTTTCTCATTAAGTCCCCACTGCACCTTGCCTATTCCTTTATAACCCCCAACCACTCACTAAGCTCTGTTGTCTTAGTGATTTCCTTCCTTCTTCTGCATCTCTTAGCCAATAGAAACGTTTAGGAAAAGTGACGCTAAAGTGGTTACTTTCAGTATTGTTTTGTTTTCTTTGTTTGGACATGAGCCTACTTTTAGTCTATACTTTGAGATGTTAAGGATGGAAATAAAAAATTAAGGGAATAAACTCCTTTTATTTCTTTGTTAGTTTTAGGTAAAAGATTGATTTGGTGAGAAGACAATTATTATATTCTTATCCTCAGTTTTTTCCTGTTTTTAACTGGGATGTTCATTTTAGCAATATTAGGCAGGAATATTTCAGTAATATGCCAGATAAATTATTTGTTGTTGTTGTTGTTATGTGCCATCGAGTCACCTGCGATTCATAGTGACCCTATGTACAACAGCCTTAAGCCCTGCTCTATCCCTTGCCAGTCTTATTGTCTCTGACACACCTAGCTCAGTTACCCCAGTGACTGAATCAATCCATCTCATCGAGCGTCTTCCTCTCCTGCGCTGTCCCTCTGCCCTCCCAAGAATAACACCCCTCTCCAAGGACTAATCCTGCCTTACAACATGCCCAAAGTATGTCAGACAAAGCTTGAGAATTCTTGCCTTCAAGGAGCAGCAGCCTGGCTTCACCTTCTCCAGGACGAACTTGTTTGTTCTCCTAGAAGTCCATGGTATATTCAATAATCTTCCCCAACACTACAGCTCAAAGGCAAATTCAGCTCATTTCAGCATTTTAAATGACAATTCTGTGCCTTCATTATTTCTTACACAGTATTTATTTTCCAGATATTTGTCTTCAGAAATTTACATTTAACATAAATACATCTAGATAGTCCCTAGTATAATCTTACAGCACATTCTTTAGTCATATGTAAGTAATTTGTGTAGATTTAAAAATGACATTCTTGTTTCTGTGTTTGATTGACTTATCTGTTTCTGTAGCCACAGAAAACTCTTCACAGATAATTCTGGAACATCTCAGAAACATATAAAGAAGGATTTCTTCTCTGTGAATTTCCTTCAACCTTACTTCACTCACCCAGTTTTTGTTGTGGTTGTTTGTTTGTTTGTTTGTTATCTTTGTCAATTTATTTTCTTTACTGTTCAGAGTTCTTTTCAATTTTAAGTCAAATTCCCATTTTCTAAGAACCTTAGTTACAAAGAAATGTTTTTCCTTCCTCCATAGAAAATAGCCACCATATATACTTGTTTTCATATTCCAAAGTGTAATTCTGTTGATTCAAAACTATGGAAGGCTATAGAACTCTCAATCCTTGTATGTACCAGCAGAATCTGAATATTCAGCACCATGGACAGAAGTCTTGGAAAGCTTAATAGGTTTGGAAGACAAAAGCACTGGCTCAGATTTAGCCATACTAATAAAATCAAACATACACCTTGTTTTGTAGAATACGAAAAATTAGTTCTTTTAGCTAGAGTTATTATTTCAATTGGTATTCTGTGTTAAACAATTTACAAAAAAAATAAATCTTTAAGAAGATAATTGAAGTAATCACAGAATTTTAAAGCAAACGTGGCCTTAGAGATTATCTAGTCCTGTTCTTTTGTTTTATAATTAATAAAACTAAAGGACTTATTTGGAATCACTCAAGCATTAATTTTAAAACTTGGGTACTAAGAAGAGATGGGTAGCTTCTGGGTTTGATGGTGCAGCTTCTTACCACTAGGCCATCAGAGCTCCCTCTGCAGTCCATGAGATGGGTAGCTTCTGAACGGAGGTAATTAGTGTTTCAGACAGAACAAGTAGGTTTTTTTTTTTCTTTCAAAATCTACTCCTTTTTTCTTGAAGTAATTAAAGAAAGACAACAATGTACATGAACTTTATGAACTTTGTACGTAAGCCAGTATAAAATAAAATTAAAAAAATAAATGAAAGTTTCTTATCTCTACAAAACACAGTCTCTGTACATGGCTGAGAGGGACCCGAATTTCCTTATATTAAGTAGTAAGTGAGAAAATTTTCCTTTTATTTTTGATAAGGTGCTATCTCACCATTTATATACACAAGAAAATAATAAATGTGTTGTTCATATTATTATTAAGAAAATGATCACACAATCTGTACTTTAATGCACAGATCAAAGTTCTCCAGTGTTTGAGAAGAATTCATATGACTCAAAGCACTTAATTTACAGTGAATTCTAGACTTAATCATTATGAAGGCTTTACCATTCAATTGCATTGCTCAAAACGAACATAAAAGACTTTCTAATTAAATTTGATAAGGGGAGAAAAATCTAAAATAATATGCCAGTGGGAGCTTTTGATAAGTACTAGAGTGGGAATGAGGGATGACTGGACATTATTCTTTAAGCAGTTTTAGACACTCATCCATTAATAATAATAAAGGTCTATATTTCCCTTTGTTTCTTCCATGAAATATGATTGTGATATCGCTGACCTTGTGTCATAAGACCCTGGATTTTTAAGGTTTTTTTTTTTTCCCAGAAAAATGTGAACTGTATGACCAGCCTGGAGAGCCCCACATGTAACAAACCCGAACATATTTGCAAGATGGTTTTCTGGGGTCAGGGTATGTTCTATGACCATGAAATGGAGCAAAGCCAATTAAGTCATATATAGATCAAGCCTGTGACCTTGACCTCATTAGCACTGTGCTCTGCCCAGTTCTACTAACTGGTCCCAGATGGTTAAGCTTAATATAGCATTTTGTATACAACTACCCTTAGAACACATTTATGCCAATTCACATTTTTTAACTGAGCACTTTTTTTTATCTGTCCCCTAAATGAATGACATACACAAAAGCTTGATGTTTTCCTTGTTTCTGGTGGTTGTAGAAGAATGATGAACTTTATTCTAGACTTCTTGAAATTCAATACCTCTTTTAGGCTATTCCCTCTCTTCCTCTATTCAATTATGGGAGTAGTTGTAAAATGCCATATCCTGACCTTGCTTGCTTTGGCAAGTTTAACGAGCCATTGTGGTAGAAACAAGGTATTGCCGGAGGCCACCAGAATTCATCTGTTATTTGCTCCTTATTCTGCAGAGTTCTTCCTCCAACAAACTTGTTCTTAGCCTGAGAACTCTTAGAAAATCTGTACAGTTTTATGCATTAAAAAAAAAACAAACCAACACAACCCCAAAACAAGTATCACAGAAGCCCCTAAAGAAACTAGTCTTGGTGATTCCTTGCTTGGGAGAAGATAACACCTTTCTTTTTTGCTTCCTTTCATGACAGGTTATTTTTTCAGAATAATGATTTTCATTCAGTTTAAAATATTTTTAGAATCACTCAGTTAAAAATATTTGTTGATCACTTACAATATGAAATTAAGTATTAATAAGAGTATAAGTGACATTATACTTAATGATATATTTAAAAATACTCTAGTTTACTTGGCAGTGTATGATTGGCTACACACACATATCTACACAGGCATAGATATCATAGTAAAGATAATGTAGTTAATATATAAAAGGCAATAATTTTAACTAAGAGGAATTACATCAGCTGTATATTAATTTATAAACAAAGGTAAGTTATAGTATGAGCTTATTAGTATAAGAAGTTTCAAATTGATCCATTTAAGTCAAGAAGAGATGCTATTCTAGCAATCTAAGTTCCCTTACAGCTTATAGTGATATTTTTCAACATTAAAATAATTTAGCTTATTTTGAGAATTAAAGAACATCAGGCTATGGTATACTTAGAGTTCCTGTAAGAAGGGATTCTTTAAGATTTTATTTCTTATACTCCTTCATTATTTATTGTTGAACTTACCATCTTCTTCTTCTTCTTCATAGGAGAATGTTTCCTGCCATGAGAGTGAAAATCACAGGCCTGGATCCACACCAGCAATACTACATAGCAATGGACATTGTGCCTGTGGACAATAAAAGATACAGGTAATTATGACTACAGGATGTGCAATTGTAGGCATCTTGGGGGTAACATCAGCATTCCAAGAGGGTTATTTAAACTCATCAAATGAAGCATTTTTTTGGTGTATAGGAAACAAGAAATGGTCGATATGTCAATGGCCTATGGCAGAGTACCCAGCAGAAAATAGTAACTAAAGGTACAGAATGATAGCTAAGTAATTATTTGACCTGGAATCTTCCCTATTTCTTCAGGCAGAGTGTAGAATTTTAGTGTCTCCCAGAAAAAGAAAAATGGACTGAATCGTAAGTCTGAAATTAATTCATCTCAGTAGTGATTAAGAAATTAAATTATTGGTTTTATGAATGCTAAATGAATTGGAATGATTTATTAGGAGAGAGGAAAGAGAAGAGTGCACAATGTAGTACATTCAATAATATATCTAATAGGTTATGCTGTGGAGGAAAGGAAGAATACAATTGGGTAAGACCTTTAGAAAAATATCTAATTAGAAGACCCTAAACATGATATATTGGCAAAGTAACTGGAACATGGACTCAAATATATCAGAAATGATGAGGATAGCACAGCAGAGGACAAGGTTCAAATCCGTTGTTCATAGGGTTGTTAGGAGTCATAGTCAACTTGATGGCACCGAATAACATCAACAGTATTCATGAATATAAGTTTTGAGTGAGTTTCTTCAATAACTTTCCCCTAAAGTCATTAAAAGACTACACAGTCTCCGTGTCTTTGGGAAGGCTTATCCATTGTCCTTTTCAAAACAAGGAGTAGTGTAGTGAATCATTGAAATCTCAGTTAAAACAGTGAGACATGACTCATTTTTTGAAAGATCTAAAGTCTAAGACCTACGGCCCATGTTTGGAGGTGACAGAGGAGTGAGGAAGGACAGGATTAATATGGTAGCGGGGAGAGCTGGCCAAGAAAGAAGTAATCTGGATTATAGGATTTAAGAGAAGAGATGCTTCAGATCTGTTTCAAAGAATCTTGAAGTTGTAATTTTGTCTGACTACCTCTGTTTGTGAAGGTGCAGGTCCCACAAGTTCCTTTAAAATTAAGCAGCAGGAAAATGGCAGATACATGGAGTAAACGATCTGAAACAAAAAGCCAATATGCTTAGTTTGTTTTACCAACCTTCTTTTCTTCCAAGAATATCTCCTTTATAGTAGCCAGATGGAGAAATAATGTGGAAGACGATGAAGTTCAAAACTAAGCTCAGTAAAGAGAATACTGACTGGAAAGATTTGGTGGTATTTCTGAGAGTGGCTATACTAAGGTAAATAAAGAAAGGCTCTCCACCCTAGAAATGCCTCAAAATTTAGATCTTTAAAAAACACATGGTCAAAAAGTAGGAGACTTGGAGAGTCTTTGCGCATGGCTATATTTTACAGGAAAATATGGGAGAGGTTTTTAATAAGCAACCAAAGCCTGAACAAGTACCCAAAGGATTATAATGGTTTGCATTGGAAAAGTGAAAGGATGCAGTGAAATACCTTTTCTATTTCTAGACATGTGGGTTCAGATGCCTGCATATACATGAAGGTACTTCACAAGGAATGGGGAAAGGAAGAAAAAGACTGTGAGAATGTCTTCCTTATGAGAGATGCAGCTTTGATGATTAACTACAACATTTCTCTGCTTCCCCATCCCTCAACCTATTTCTTCATTCATTCATTCATTCATTCATTCATTCATTAATTCTTCATTCATTCATTCATTTCTTTCTCTATCTCATTTTCCTTGAATATCTCCTCTTCTCTTTTGTCTTCTTTGCATATCTCCATTTCTTATCTATTTTTGATATTTATTTTCCTGTACTTCCTTCTCCTGTATACTTATTTCCTGAACTTCTTTCTCCTCTGCATCAACCTCTGAATTCTCTTCTCTGTCTATCTCAGATACGTATATCACAGCTCCAAGTGGATGGTGGCAGGCAATGCTGATTCACCTGTTCCCCCAAGAGTTTATATCCACCCCGATTCTCTAGCTTCTGGAGACACCTGGATGAGACAGGTGGTCAGTTTTGACAAACTCAAGCTGACCAACAATGAATTGGATGATCAAGGACATGTGAGTCAAAGAAACCTTTCTCTCTTCCCTTTATCCTCTTTTACTCTAGACTAGTCTGAGGATTTTTTCAGACAAGTAAAAGAAGACTCCCAGAACCATTTTAAGTCTTAGGAGTGCCCATAAGGCTTTTTCTGCCTTTGTGAAATTTTATTTTTGACAAATACAGTATTTAGCAAGTATGTTCTGTACAACAGAGAAGGTATTGTATCATACAAAGTCCTTGTGTTACAAGGGCTTAAACTCAATTGGGGAGGCAAGATAGAAACATAGACCAAGTTAAACAACAGTAAAAGAAATGATAGCAATTAGAAGAATAACTTACAAGGCACCAGCTTCAAGGGAGGGAGCCCTGGTGGTCTAGTGGGTAAGGAGCTGTACTGCCAACCCGAAGACTTGCAGTTCGAATAGGCCAGATGAGAGAGAAAGATGGGTAAGCTTCTCCTGTCTCTGAAAACCTACTGGAGGGTCAGCTATGAGTTGATTCAGACTAGATTCTACCAAACAACAAGAACAACCTGAAGGGAACATCTGAAGCTGTAGCTTAACTGATTGGTAAAGGAATTTAGGTGACAAGACAAGTTCTTACAAATTTAATGTGTAATTGGAGTACTGAATATTAATTTATTTTTGGCAGTACTGAATTTTCACTGAATGTCAGGATCTGTTCTGGGTGATACGAGAAGAGTGAAAAGAAGTTAAAATCATGTTTTCTAACTTTAAGGAAGGGACACTTTCCTGAGGGAGGGAGAACACACATATACATTCATTCTCAGATGACATAATAGAACTCTTGAAACAGTAACATGTATTTGAAGACAATATGGGCCAAGGCAGAAAATTTGTAATTAGATCAATCAACTTTCATTTATTTCTGTTACCTTTTAATGGAGAGTTTTTCCATAGGTACCAGAATAGCCATTTGGTGCTTAGCCAATCAGACCAAACTTGTTATACCAACCAACCGTGATTGAAATGCCTGCCACATAGTACCATCTGAGACTGTCCAGTAACTAATTCTTTTTGCCGTTCATGTGTAGAAATAGTCAGCTCAACTCCAAGTTAAAAGATTGGCAATTTGAACCCAGAGGCATCTGAGAAAATAGACCTGAAGATCTGCTTCCAGAAAGTCAAAACCTAAGACTCTTAGGGATTACAGTTATTCTCTGATGTACATGAGGGGGCTTCACATGAGTCAGAAACAACTAGAAGGCAAGCAGCACACGAGCACATACACTGATTTCCGGTTTTCTGTGCATCCATTACCAACCTGTGTTCTTTCCGTAGTCGTTGTCTTCTGGTGTGTTCAGCATATGAGTTTAAAGAAATGGAAAAACCTAAAACCCAACCCTTTTCTAATTTCAGATAATTCTGCACTCTATGCACAAATACCAGCCTCGAGTTCATGTCATTCGCAAGGACTTCAGCAGTGACCTCTCACCCACTAAGCCTGTCCCTGTTGGGGACGGAGTGAAGACATTCAACTTTCCTGAGACTGTCTTCACTACAGTCACAGCCTATCAGAATCAACAGGTAAGTCAATACCCATAGGAATCTTTTGCTTTTGGTAAGAAACACTTCTCAACTCTCATTGCCATTGAGCTGGAACTGACTCACAACTGCCCCTCTGGTCGGTTTTCAGAGACTGTAATCACACAGGAGGAGGTTACCCATTTTTCTCCCACAGAGCTCCTGATGGGTTAGAACATGAGAGGCACCATCCTTGGGTTAGCAGTGCAGTTCCTTACCCATTAGGGAACCAGAGCTCAAAAAATTCTTCACCTTGTGTTATACAGAAATAGAATGTAAGAAACCAGCTTTAAAATGCACATAAGACATTGATTAGGATAACACTTGCTTGATAGCAGCTGGAATAGTTGAGATTCAGTTCAGAGACAACATCTTTGAACAAGAAGATCGACTTGCTAAGCTATTTTCATGTTTCTTTATACTTCTACCTGTATTCACAACCTCAATTACTTCCAGACAGTTATCAATATCGCTTCCTCCGGACGCCTTTATAAATACTGAGATTTAATTTATACTTATCCTTTACTTTTTATACACATCAAACTCATTAAGAATATCTGATTCTATTTAATGCTTTTAGTTTCCATTCACAGTTTATGATCAAATTTACCTCTATAGGATTACCAGCCACACCTAAGATCACTGGGGTTTTTTTGGTGCTGGTGATAGGTTTCTTTTCATTCATTCCACCAGTATCAATTAAGAATTCACTGTGTTCAGGCTAAGAAGAGAAACAGAACTGATTAAGGTTTTTCTCTTAAGGAGAAGGAGTCTTCTTTGAGCAACGGACTCATAAATATGCAATGATAATATGGTGAAATAATTCAGTGACAGAGATGTGGACAGGATGCTTCTTGGTTTGGAGAATGAGGATAGTCTTCTGAAGTTAAAGTTTTACTGAGATGCACATATATATCAGGCAGGCTAATGGAGGAGGTGGATGATGGAGAAAGGACAGTTCTGGAATTATTTTGGGAATTCTAAGCAATGTTGTTGAGAACAGTATTTTAAGAAAAATGATTGAATAGATTCACTGTTGCTTTCATTCTGTGCAGGTCCATAAAAGTTGCATGTGTATCCTAGTTTTAGAAGTTGGATGGTATTTTATCTTTCTGAAAATTGTCTAATTAGTAGAGTTATGCTTTGAATATTTTTAGTAAATTGAGAAGTTTTATTTAATTTTTTGCTTATCCAACTTGAAAACTAGATGTTTTACTTTTGAGACTGCTTGAAGCAATATTATACAGTTTTACATCCAATGCCAGTTATGTTGGCCTCTCTACTTTTCAGTCAGTACTTGGACAATGAAGGCAATAGAAGAAAATGTTCATTTACTAAATATGTATCACTGTTTAGTATGTGACAAGCAACTAATGTAAATTATATAAGCCTTGGTTTGCATGTGGGAGGTGTTTCTGTCTTTTATGTTGTTGTTGTTATGTGCTGTCGAGTCTTTTGCGACTCATAGCGACCCTATGTACAGCCCTAAACCCTGCTCTATCCTGGGCCAATCACATTGCCTCTGACACACCCATCCCGATTAGCCCAGTCACTGAATCAATCCACCTCATAGAGGGTCTTCCCCTCCTACACTGTCCCTCCACCCTCCCAAGCATGACATACCTCTCCAAGGACCTGTCTCTCCTTACATGTCCAAAGTATGTCATACGAAGTCCCAGAATCCTTGCCTCCAAGGAGTAGCCTGGTTTAACCCTCTCTAGGATGAATCTATTTGTTTTCTTGGCAGCCCATAGTGCGTCTAGATAAGATATTTCATATTCTTTATTTTCAGAAGCATATACTATAAAATCCCACACTATTCCAATGAGTATTAAATACTTTCTGGTTTGTCAGACTCTCTCAGCAACTGTGAAGTTTCCCAATTGCAAATTTTCAGAGTGGACACCACATTTGAGCCAATGTAGAAGAGCTTTAGTCTGCGCTGGGCACTATTTAAAATCTCTGAAACTGTATAAGACTCTTTAGAATTAAGTTTGTAGAACAAATTAGAGTAGTGCCTGCCATGCAGTAGAATCTTAAACATTCTATCGCCACATTGAGATCGGTGCTAAAATATCAAAGAACAGGTATTTTAACGCCATTTAAAACTAGAAAGCTACAACTTACAGTAACAATAAAAGAATACCACACAGGGTATCTGAAATCCCTTTTGCCTCCTCTATCTCCCACATATGAAGCATTGCTAATGTGATTACAGTCTTCTCTTATAAATGTTTTGTCTGTACCTGGGCTGGGATGAGGTGATGATACAGTTTTTGGAGGGACAAGATACAATGACAAAGATTATGCAGGTTAGCAAAAGACATCTGGTTTGATTTATGATCTTTCCACTGACAAGTTGTGTGACTTGGACCAAGTTTCTGAACCACTTTGCAGTTGTGTTACTGATAAGAAAATATACCTTTTAGAGGTATCCAATTCATTAAGGGGCTTTGTATAAATTAGTTGATGTAAAATTGACATATAATGAACAGCTGTCAGCCTATATTACCCCAATACTAGGTCTTCATAAGCAGACAGGAGAGTAGGAGCAGATATTATTTTAAGGGAGAAATTGCTTATTGTGGAAATACTAGAATGTCGGGACCTGGAGTTGCTGCATTGTCTCCTCCAAGAGATTAAACTCAATAGGTAACCAATTTGATCTCTCTGTCCTACTGTCAAATTGGTGAATTCATGATGTACTAGCATTCCAAATAGATAAGTCATGCTCAATTTCTCCCATTTAAAGAGCTGTTGTCAATTTAAGTCCGTAGCCCCCATTTCAATCAATAGGCATAATTGTTTAACATTCCTTTGCTGTATGTTGTTGTGTACCATGGAGTTAAAACTGACCCATAGCTGACCCACCAATAGGTTTTCAGAGGAAGTTAACTGCAGGGGAGGAGATTGCCAATATTTCTCCTGTGGAGGAGCTGGTGCATTTGAACTGTGTACCTTTGGGTTGCTATTGCAACTTCTTACCTGTAGGCCACTAGAGATCCCTGCTTGATGGATAGATATAATTTAATATAATACAGTTCCTTCTACAATGCAAAATAATCTCAGGTCTTTTACCATAGAAATCTTTAAGTCTGTATTCTGTAGGTGAGTGTTGATACTTAAAATTTGTCATGAAGATGCCAGATACTAGAAATTACTCTCTATTGTAAGCTATCTCCATCTGTTGCTATGTGATTGTTTCCCTTGACATGCTAGATTTGTTATTTGCTGTCAAGTCAGAACACTCATAGCTGAAAAGCCAGGGAGTTTTCAGAGTCAGTAAATTGTATTGGAGGAGATTGCCCATCCTTCTCCCATGGAGCAGCTGATGGATTCAAACCACATGCCTTTGAGATTGCAGCGCAGGTTCTCACCACTGTTGTTGTTAAGTGCTGTCGAGCCGGAGATGACTCATAGTGATCCTATGACTGAAAGACCTGAACACTCGTATAACTTTCATTGTTTCTCCATGTTCATAGAGTATCCAGAGGCAAGCTATTTCAGAAGTGAATGCCACTCCTGCTTCCAAGCTTGTTTTAATCAGGGAGCTCCACCAAACACTGTTCACCATAGGTAACTGTTATCACTTTTGACACATCACTGTCACAGTGTTTAGCATCACAGGAACCATAAGTTACTTCTGTACAGCAAATGGACAGACCAGTGCTATACCATTTAGAAGAATGTTTGGCCAAAAACAATTACAACCAGGACTGAGGGCTGCAGACTAAAATCACCCACCTTTGGCTTGGTAGCATAATTTCTATCCACTAGTCATTGTCCAACTTCGTGATGCATAGCAGATAATTGTTAAGACCATGTCTTGGATCAGGTGCATCTTCATCTCTAGACTGATGTCATTGCTCTTTAGCACTCTGGAGATGCCCCTGACAACAGATTTCTCTAATACAATTAGTCTTCTGATTTTCTGACTGCTAGTGCCAAGCCAAGAAAGCTGAAATTAGTAATAGCCTCAATCTCTTTTCCATCTTTCATGATGCTGCCAATTGGCTCAGTGAGAATCTTTGTCTTCTTGACGTTGAGCTTCAACCCATATTGAAGACTGTATTTCTTTTTCTTCTGCAGAAAATTCTTTAGGCCCTTCTCATTATCAGTAAGCAAAGTTGTATCATCTGCATATGGCAGGTTGTTGATGAGTCTTCCTCCAATTCTGATGTGACAATCCTCCTCATAAAGCCCAGCTTCCTAAATTATCTGTTCTCCAAATAGATTGAGATGATATGGAAAAAAGAGGCATCTCTATTGTACTCCTTTCCCAATTTTGAACCATGCAGTGTTTCTTTGCTCTAGTCTGCCTACTGCTTCCTGGTCCAACTATAGGTTTCACGTGAGCACAATCCAGTGTTGTGAGATTCCCATTCTTCTCGAAGATAGCTCCCTGTGCTAGAATTAAAACAATATTTTATGGGAAAGTTGTTTACTTTACAATTTTGTTTCAAGAAGAATTTTAAGAGACAATGTAAAAAGTAAAGAGGAAAATAATCAGTGGTAGGTCCTTGATTTTCTCTGGATCTCATTTGGAAGACTATATATAGGAATGCCAAAGACAGGGAATGCAATTGAAATGTTACCAGGCTTCCTAAGGAAAACCTTTGTTTTTTCCAAAGTCACCAAATTTCCAGAGAGTGGACATTTGTAGACATGGGTTTTTCCCCCCCTGCATTTTTCGCTATTTACCTGGTTAATTCTGAGCAAATTATTGTGTTTCCTGGGTTTAAATTTTGGCATCTAGAAAATGAGGAGTTGGCCTTTGCTTTACAAGGTCCTTTCTAAGTCTGGAATTGTAGTTGCTCTTGTTTCTTTTCAGTATGTTTTCCAACAGTCTTGGAAACAATTTATTATCACCAAGCAGAGACAATTGACAGGGTTTCTGAGTATCAAAATTCTTGAAGTGTTCACCTCTGTAAACTTTAAAAGTATTCCCATAATACTGGAGATTGCCTGCGACTCATAGAGACCCTATGTACAACAGCCCTAAA